ATATATCTAGAATATTTAATCTACTGACCACTTTATTACCCAAGGAAGTCAGAAGTATTTGGTGTGTGTCGTTCAAAAACATGAAAATATAGACAASTGCGTAAGAGAAATGGCAAGCCATGAAAAATATATACAGAAAAAAACCAGTTCTAAAGTCATGTGCTTTAGAAATAGAGGAAACAACATCCATATAACACCTGATAAAGCATTTGAGAGGCACAGTGTCTTTGTTCAGTTTATGTCCAGTGTTTATCAAGATTTAATCTACTAATAATTAACAATATACTTAGTTGGACCTTTTTCTTTTTTTAAATTCTCATTAAATGGCTTAGTTTTTGTTTGTTTTGTTTGTTTGCTTTTTTAGATTATTAGAATAAACTTGATCAAATTGCATCCTTGTATTACAGTGTATTAGTGAAAAACTGGGGATGAAAAAAACATTTAGAAAAAAAAACAGGAAATGTTGACTTTGCACTGAGTCTGAGTGACAACATAAAGAAATAAACAGTGGTTAATCATTATACTGTACTAAAACAGTTTGTTTAAGGTGATTATTGAGGATGTGGCAGCCTTTATCAGACTRAGTTTTATGAGTGTGAATCTGTACACATAGTCACATGTGTGAGTGGGAGTGGAGGCCTACTCCTGTCAAAACATGCAGGGAGTAGCAGCGGGGATGGAAGACATTACCCTCAGGAATGACGCAGCAGAAGTTCAGCGTTCAAACGTGTGCTGGGCTCTGTGCATATTTATTTTCTTACTCATTCACGTGCAGTTCCTCCCTCAAAGGGGTGGAACATCTGTGCCATGCTTATGGGGATAACACTGCACAATGAGAACACTTAGGCCGCTAGCACATGGCTTGAGCATACATTGAAGATAGAGTTACAGACACAAAATTGTAGCAACACAGTGAAAACTGCTCGATGGCTTTGTCTCAAAGAAGGTTAACGTGGACAGTGGATGGTCAAACTAATATTTCCTGAGACTYATTTGTGTGGTGAGCCAAAGCACAATCATCACTTAAGCTTGGCAGCAGTTTGAATGTACCAGGAATTTGTGATGTTTTTGTTATCACAAGCCATAATAAAACAAAATTAATTCTGTAGATGTCATACAAATTTTGCCATACTGTAAGTCTAATAAAGGTAACAACTTGATAAACATTTTTTAATTTATTCATTTGTTTTTATCATGCCATAGCTCATGTCTTAGGTTGAGGGCTCAAATTCCGTTTAAACAATTGTGTGCCATTTTGAAATTAAACAGTACTTTAGAACTGATGGACATTTGCCAGCTCATCAAAAGTCAAAGGAGTTTGCTTCAACCAGAGATTTATTTCTTCTGCTTCCCACCCTTGATGTCAGCTCTTTGGAGAGATTGCGTTTTGCAACAGTGTAATTACTAACTGATAAAATGTGAGCATCCTAATAATCATTACCCTCTAAATTAATGTCTCCATGTAACTTTTTTCCCCTGTCTTTTTTTAAATTAGACAAAGGCTAAACTGAGATCAACTTGTAATGAGTAATAACAGGGTTATTATTGTTTTGGTCAAACTTTGTTAAATTTATGCATAATCTCATGCAGAATTGAAAGATTTAGCAACACTCTCAACTACTATCTCATCAAACATTAGATAGTCCTTAGTACCTTAGTCCTTAATTACTTGTGAACACTACATTGTGATAATTTAGATAATCATTCCAATTTGCGGTATCAACAATGCACATGATTTTATTTTCGAGGTTTGACCAAATGGGCCACAACATTGTCATTTTGCAACATAAGATGATCTTATTTTAAAACTCTGTCCTTAAATGTGGCACATATTCCATCAAGAAATGCTATATGCACAGAATAACTAATAACTGTGTCAAGTCACATGTATGTCTAGGAAGATGAACACAAACTGAAACACAAAAGTGTGGAGATACATTTATACATTACAATTAAACTTGGCAGCTCTCCATGATGAGTGCCATTATTGAAGAGACTGGATCGATACAGGGGAGTGAATTGCCAATTTTAGTTTGTTCCATAGAAATCGGCTGCCACTGCATTCTAGAGGGAACACACCTGAAATTGGCAGWGGCAGAGTGGAATTTGGTTTGTATGAAGAAAAAGATTGAAGAGTGAACAGTACAGATACAGAAGAACTCGGACATTTACGTCTCTACCAACAAAGGGCACATTAAGGTGGTTTATTTTACATCCATCCATTTTCTTTACCTGCTTTTGCTTTCCAGGTCCTGAGGAACTGGTGGCTGTTTCCATGCAGTCACTGTGTGGGAGGCAGGATACAATTCTGGACAGGTTGCAAGTTTATCACAAGGTCACATAGAGACAAACACCTATGTATTTAGACACTCACTCATACCTAGGAACAATTRAAATATACCAATTAACCTAGCATACTTTTTTTGGCCTGTAAGAGGAAAACCGAACATCCAAAGAAAACCCAAGCATGCACACAAACAGAAATAAGAACACTCAAATTCCCCAAAAGATCTCAGTTTACTGTGCTGCTATGTTTTTTGTTAGTTTGTTTTTTGTTAAATATTGCATTGTCCTAACAATTGTTTGGAAATGTATGCACACACACACACACACACACACACA